TAACACTTTAAATCCTGTCGGCTCAACTTTGATATGACTCACTTCGAGTTCCTGAAACTGGTGCACCGGAGCTTTTTACCCCGATTATGTTTTACAAGGCATTCATTCTTACTAGAGAGAACTTCAAATGTATTGATTAAACGAGTGTTCCACAACTTGAAGTTTAGGGTCAGTTATTTTTCCACTCATGACCAAGTTGGTTTAGTCAGGATTGTTCCTTTTTGTTTCCCCAAAATAAGAAATAAAAATGCAACTTAGACAAAGAAAACCAAAACCCACTGTGAGACCTCGGAGCTTCGACAGATTACTGTAATCACAGAAACAGAACGTACAGTCTCACTTCCAGAACTCACTAAGACTCTCTAATCTGGACTATTAACATTCCTCAGCCTGCTTTCTGTGACTTTGCTATGAGTATTCTGGACAGAAATGTGTCCCAAAAACCAGGTTAGGGCTACTAACTTCTGACTCATCCACTGACCTTTTGGGTCAAACCACCACTTTAGAGAAGGTTTCTGTGAAGGGAAGAAGAACAAGATGGACACTATGATGACACCGGTGACGGCATCTGAGACGTACCTGCAGGAAATGAAAGGAGGAAATGACCTATTAAGCACATGCCATTGATGTAGTGAGCTTGTTTCCAAAGAAGTAGAGTAACAGAAACTGTCTGACCCTTTTTTGAAGAACACCGACCAGCCAGTGACAAATTTAGGATCTCTTGTGAACAGAAGAACAGCAAACAAAACAAAAAAGAAAGAGATGGCTCCTTCTGCAAAGCTGAAAGTAAAAAGTGTTTCTGTTTCACAAATCTCTTCATTCAGTGTGATCAGGATGAGACAAGGAGACGGCCTCACTTCATTGGTCCTAGTTTTCTGTAATCGTCCTCCATCAATGCTTTGGCTCTAGATTCTGCCAGGGCCCTATGGTCATGTTTAGCAAAGCACAACCTGAACAGAATAAATAAACAAATAGGAGACTTGTAAACAGAAAGAGGGAGGAAAATGTACTCATGATAGTGGCATTACCTTGCATTCAATCCCCCGTATAGAAAAGAAATCCAAAGCCATCCCAGAAACAGGAAGAGGAGCATGAGCGGGAAGGCAAACGCAAACCAGGAGCCAAAGTTGATGAGATCACAGTCTGGGAAGTAGCTGCATAAAACAAAATCATCTCTTTTAGACACAACTTGTTATGCATGGCAAATTATTTCCTAGAAAAACAAACAAACAAACAAACAAACAAACAAACAAACAAAAAACAGTACTAAGAACCCAACTTTTTTAGCTGTCCAATCAGGATGAGGTTTGGAGCGGTTCCTGTGAGTGTGGCCGTCCCCCCGATGCTGGCTGCATAGGGAATACAGATCAGGAATCCTTTCCACACTTTCAGCTGATACTCCGACTCCGATCGGATCTCCTCAGTTGTCCTCACATCCGGCAGCTCCGATGCATCCGTCCTTTTTAAGAAATGCATCATTAGCCAGAGGTGTGACCAAGTCACTGCTTTGCAAGTCACAAGTCTTTCCAGTCAAGTCCAAGTCGAATACAACCAAGTCCAAGTCGAGTCCAAAGTCAATGATCTGGAAGTCCGTCAAGTCCAAGTCCTTAACTTTGAATTTTCAGGTCATAATCAAGTCATCTGTCCAGCTTCAATTTACTGATGATGTTAAATAAATTCCAGAATAAAAACTTCTTAAAGCTTCATTTATTCACTCAAACAAGCAGAAAGTGCACCTGATACTGATTATAAACAAAGTGCTGCTGCAGTTAGCAGCGCAACATCACACCCAGAACAAAGAATGATTTATGATTTTTGTCCACGTCGTGCCACTTTTGAGCTACAATAGCAAATATGCTCAAGTCATCATCAAGTCAACAGATGCAAGTCGATTCAAGTCGCAAGTCACTGGCGTTCACGTCCGCATCAAGTCGTAAGTCTTTATAGATTTTATCAAGTCAAGTCAGAAGTCATTAAAATAATGACTCAAGCCTGACTAGAGTCCAAGTCATGAGACTCGAGTCCATACCTCTGTCATTAGCTGACATTAGTTCTATGTTTCTGATGCTGTGGTCAGCATTGCGTTGGCAGGAATTCACATGAGGGTGTGCTTTTGTCTCAAAATAAAAGAAATGCAGCTGATCTCTCACCCCTCTGTGGACAGAGTTTGTTTTTCTGAGACCTCTGATGGAAGTGAATGCAGCTTCGTAGATGATTGGCCTGGGAGAAACAGAAGCACAGTTCGAGTTGGGTTCAAAAGCTGTCAGAGAGAAGTCGACACATACAAGTAAGTGATAGGGTTCAGCTGTGTAGACTATATAAAACATGAATGAGGTGGTAAAACAACTTTAATCTATCACCACTGAGGACTGTCTGAATGAAAAACTAGGACTCGGAGTGCTGGAAAACTGCACAAAGTTCACACATTAGATTACATATTACAGGCTCCTGCAGACCAGGTTTAAACAGTGCAACACCATATTTACTGTGTGTGTGTGTGTGTGTGTGTGTGTGTGTGTGTGTGTGTGTGTGTGTGTGTGTGTGTGTGTGTGTGTGGTGCATGAGAGAAGCAGCACACTATACAATGAGTTAAATGTAGAGTCAGTGACAGATATGTTTTTTTCATTGTTTTATTCATGTTCCAACGTTGAATAAGGGTCCGTACCGTTTATCACAGTGTTGTCTCGATCCTCGGGGGATTTGCACCTTTGCTTCAGGCTCTCAAGGTCTCCAAACAGGCTCTCCAGAATGGCATTGGCGATGGGGAGCATCATGGCTGTGGTGGCCGTGTTGCTGAGCCACATGGACAGGAAGGATGAGGTCAGCATCATTCCCAGGATCAGCCTGTAAAGCAGGTTCATTCCAAAGCCTGCAGTTACTAATACTGATAACTCAAATACTAATTAAATCTTTATTTGCACTCATGTGGTGATCATCAAACAGAGCTAAAGAATGCATCTGTTGGTGTGAGCCAATCATTCAGATGGACACGATTGATGCTCAGATAAAATGAGGATAAATGCAGAATTATTGCCAGTGAATAAGCGTTCCTACCAGGCTGGTTTTACTCCAACAATACTCAGAACCTTCAGGGCTATCCGACGATGCAGCCCCCACTCCTCGATGGACGACGCCATCACAAGTCCGCTGAGGAAAAGAAAGTTGGTTTCGATGAAATACTGAGGGCAGACCATTTTGGCTGGAAGAATTCCCAGTGTTGGGAAGAGGCAGATAGGAAGCATGGCCGTGACAGCCAGAGGCAGGGCCTCTGTGCACCAGAACGTGGCCATCAACACCACCACGTAGAGACACTTTCCCTCCTGGAGGCAGAACAACAAACATGCTTTAATAGATTGCTGACTTGAAAACCCAGAGAACAAAACAGCTAAAAAACCCACAGGATTCAGTTCCCTGCAGAGGATCTGTTTGTTTTTGGGATGTTTGGGATGTTTTGAGTAAGAAGTCCTCCCTATGTTCATCTCATCAGTGGATGTTGGAAAAAAGATGTCTTTCCAAGAGAAAAATGCTCAATTAAATTCAATTGACTTCCAGATTATCATAATATTAAAATATTCAGCAGGTTTAGTTTCTAATTCCTAGTTCAGGGACTGAAAATAACAGCGATGGATTCCAGAATCCAAGTTTTGCAATCAAGTTCCAAAAAGAGCCAAAAACAGGCTGTGAGATATGAACAAACAGCTTTGTATGAACTGTTTTTGACTGGAAAAATAATCCTAGAACTACTGAAATCATAAATCCACTGAAGTCTGTTGATTCATGTTGTCTTGGATGGCTAAACCAGTCACTAATGTTTTCACTCCAAGTAGCCCACAGCAGAAAAACATGCGTATCATAAACTGACTCACCTTTTCCGGCAGAGTAAACAGAAAAGGCAGGAACACGAGTGGAGTGAGCAACACAAGCAGCTGCTTGTGGACACACCACAGCTTCTTAGACAGAACGGATATCTTCATCCCCTGAGTGGTTTTCTGCTCTGTTTTTGGAGAAAATGAAGTCGAGTCTGGCTGTGAGGAGCCTGCGAGGGAGCACTTTGAATCCTGTGGCTGGACACAGAGAAGATTAACTACACGCTTCGCTACAGGTTAACTCCTCCTTAGGTGGTATTATTACACAGGATGGTCAGCTTTCTCACAAAGACGGTTGAAGTGTGCGAAAACGTGGCTGGAAGCACCAGTTTACAAGCTGCAACAGGAAATACTTCATCAATTTCTGGGAATGATTCCTAAAAATTAAATGTTGCTGAGTTACCTATGTATTTCACAATTTTGTGGGAAAAGACAAGAATTAGGAAGCATGAATTGTTTCTCTGGTGTCTGAAATACATTTTCAGTGTTTTGGACATTTTGTGAAACAAAAGTGATAAAACGGTTTTGAACCAGAAGATCTCGTACTGATTAGAAAGTTTTCCCGATCCCACAGCGATAGAAGCATAAACACAGTTTCAGTGGAATATTGATCTATTTCACAATCCCAACATGTCCCTAAATGACACAAGAATGGTAATAAAAATTCCTTTTGAATTTTTCTAGAGAGTAAATGCAAAATCTTATTGCACCACTGGGTGTCAGACATGAGTTTAAAATAGTTTAGGAGGAAAACATTTAACTCTGGGTAGAAGAAGCCAATAGGAGGCTGTTCTGTGGGCCACCGCAGACACGCTGGTGCTTACTGAACCAGAATCTCAGTCGTGGGAGGAGTTCTGCATGGTGATGGAGAAAGACCATCGATTGGCTCCAAAGAGGAGCAGAAAAAAATTATTCTTTCAGTTTTTCCAGCAGAGTCGGAGTGCAGGGATTTAGTAGGTGATACAGGATTACTTTGAGGTTTTCCTAAATCCCAGTGAGGACCTAGAGCCCAGAGAAACAGGGATGGATCGATGAATCTTTGGAGGAGAGCATCTGCATGGTGCTGAAGCCCTAAAGGTTAATGAGGTCCATCCTGAGTATGTCAAGCCTATTGATGTTGTCGGGCTTAGTGGACACGTCTCTGCAACCTTGTGTGAACATTAGGGGTGGTGAAGACAGGAGACCAGAGGGTGTGTCCCATAGGACACTCCTCAGCATCCCTGGATAAGTATTCAAGTTACTGGAGAGGAGGGTCCGGTCGATGGTTGAATGTCGGACTGAAGAGGAGCAATGTGGTTTTGGTGCTGGACCTGCTCTTTGCTCTTATGATGCTGGAGGGGAATGAAAGTTTGTCCATCCAGTCTACACATGTTAGTGGATCTGGAGAAGATTTGTGTCCCCTGAGTCACAGACCTCACGGGGAACACTCAAGGAAGCTAGGTGGTTCATAGATGATCCTTTAGTTCCTGTCTGATGTTGTTTACCCATAACCCTGGTCAGTGCAGGTAAGTGTTTACTTTAGCAGTCAACAGGTTTACATCGGTGGTCACTAGTCCATCACAGAAATGGTAAATGTGTTTGATATAGCACCTTCTAAAGTCCTGGAACACCCCCCCCCCCCTCCAAGGCATTTTACACCACAATAAGTCATTCACCCATTCACACACATTCACACCTCACACCCAGTGGGGATGAGCTACGATGTTGCCACGGCTGCCCTGGGGCAGAGGCGAGGCTGCCGTACACAGGTGCCACCGGTCCCTCCAACCACCACCAGCAGGCAAGGGGGGTAAATTGTCTTGCCCAAGGACACAGACATCAACAAAGTGAGCGGGGCTCAAACCTGCAACCTTCTGATTATATGGGGTGAGCACTTAACTCCTGTGCCACCGTCAGTTTATTAAACTCCACTCAGCAAGGCCCTGAGCTGGGAATCTAACCTGCAACCTATGATCTTTACTGGATAGCACATTGAATTGCCTCGGTGAATGAGATGTGCTGCATAAATAAAGCTCCCTCGCCTTGCCTACGCGCCGAAGAAGCTGATTACTGTCCAACAGCAGTGGTGCTGGCTGGTCTTTCCCCTTTTTTCTGACCAGCTTCATGTCTCACACACACAACTAATAACAAGTAAATAACAAGAGTAAAGCCATGCAAATTTATTTTATGCAAATAAAAAATAGTTATTGAAAAGTGAGTTCAGTTTCAGCGTGGTTGGTGTTACTTCCTGTCATGTTGCTGTTGGCCTCCTGTGCTATTAAAATACCAACAGGTGACACACACACACACACACACACACACACACACACACACACACACACACACACACACACACACACACACACACACACACACACACACACACACCAGAAAAATAGAAAGAATGGGTTGTTTTATTAGATGGTTCTTCTGCAGGCTCCAGTTGGGGGACACGTTCAGCTGCACCAGTTACTCCTCTGACTTCTTGAAGAGATGATACGAATCACCTTTGTTTTCAGAGAAAAAGACAAATCAGCAAAAACCACCTGACAGAAGCACCCCTCCACCCACAGGCTGCTGTTCCAGGAAATGGCGCTCCGGTGAGCCTGTGGTTTCTCCACAACAACATAAAGCTGCTGCAGTGTTTCTTTATCACACCCCCATCAGACTAATGATGTGCTGATGAAAGGGTTTCACTCTTTAAGTAAAAACATGTTTTATTCAGTGTTTGTGGGTGTTATGGAAAATGTATATTTATTCATTCTTGATCATTGACTCAATCAACTGAATGTAATCAAAATCAAATTAAATCACTTTTATTGTTACGTCACATGTGCAGGTACACTGGTACAGTACATGCGAGTGAAATTCTTGTGTGCGAGCTTCACAGCAACAGAGTTGTGCAAAAATACAATAACGTAAAAATAAGCAAAATATAAAAATGGCTAATCTAAGTAATAATATTTATAGTATTTTATAATATTATAGTATGTAAGGTAACCTGACTAAATGTGTGTGCTAAGTATTTTATTTTTTATTTTTCTACGTGTGTGCGCGTGAGTGTGTGTATAATGCATATATACATATTTTACAAATGAACAAAGTAAACAATAAAATAAGATATATAAAATATACAGAGGTTGGTATGTGCAAAACAGGGGCATTAATGTACAGTGTGGAGTGTGTAATGTTGGAGTTTCAGTAGTGAGGGTGAGGTGTCTTTGTTGTGTTCAGCAGTCTGAAGGCCTGATGGAAAAAGCTGTCTCTCAGTCTGCTGGTTCTGGACCGGATGCTGCAGAACCTCCTTCCTGATGGAAGTAGTCTGAACAGTTTATGGCTGGGGTGACTTGAGTCCTTGATGATCCTCCCCGCTTTCCTCAGGCACCGCTTCCTGTAGATGTCTTGGAGGGAGGGAAGCTCACCTCCAATAATCCTTTCTGCACACCGCACTACTCTCTGGAGAGCTTTGTGGTTGTAAGCGGTGCTGTTGCCATACCAGGCGGGGATGCATCCAGTGAGGATGCTCTCAATGGCACAGCAATAGAAGGTCCTGAGGATGTGGCGGCTCATGCCAAATCTTTTCATATATATATATATATATATATATATATATATATATATATATATATATAATTTGGTGACTTTTTGGATATGCTAAGACCCCCTAAAGGCCCTTCAAAGACGCTTAAGAAAAAGAAAGAAAAAAAATAAATAAACGGAGCAGATACAATAGGCCTTTGCAGCTTGAGACGATCGTGCGAGAAATGATCGAGCAATCCAATCAGAAACGGACCCTAAAAACGGCAAAAACGGCAAAAAATCGCCATTTCAACCCAAAATGGCCGACTTCTGCCTCTTTGATCATGCTCACTCAGACACACCCACACAAGACACTCACACATTCTTGACCCCCCCCCCCCCACCCCCCCACACACACACACACACACACACACACACACACACAATCTCTCTCTCCCTCCCACTCCCCCTCTCTATAAATAAACTCTGTGACCAGATGTTTGGTGCATCTTGCCACAGTTATAACCGTTTGACTTGTTGTTCATTGTCTCCTTCTCTCTCAGACTACAGGAAATGGGTTATTGATAAACATATTGATAAAATCCATGACAGTAAGGAATTGTGTTTTTCTGTTTCTGACGCTGGACAGTTACACAGTGGAAAATCTTTTAAACAAACAAAGTCCTGGAGTTTCCTGTTGGGCTCTGAACAATAAAAGCCAAACTTCTTCAAGTAAAACATCTAGTTTTAGATTTTTTCTCAAAGGGCTGAAGGAGATGAGGTTTGTAACATTTTTAGATTTAAAAAGTGTCTTTAATTCTTTACCTTCTACACAAAATACAAAACAATCGAGACTTTTTGGTCGATGCCCTTTGGCCCCATAGTGTTTTGCTTCAACATAAGGATATAAAACAAAAATAATATTAAAGGTAAGTTTCACTGAGAATCTGTGTAATACTTGCTCTTTTAGAAATTTGATTGGTCATTCTGAAATGTGCATGCATGCTGAATTTATTCATTTGTTTGTTTGTTTGTTTGTTTTTAATTTACAGGTTATTACTGGACACGCAAAAGGTGCTCGGCCGTGTTTTTGATCATCCAGATAAAGGTTTACAGTAAAACATAACACTTTAACATATTATTAAATCCATTGTGTCACATAAAGCACGGCTCTTATAGAACATGTTTCTGGAGTTTCTGTTTTATTTGGACAAAAAAATTCATTATGGCCACAAGGAAAATGAGCTGTTTCCTTCTAAACTAGGATGTGAAAAAAGGAAACAGTTTTAACTTTTGTTGTTTTTAGTCAAAAGGAGAGCAAATACTCCTGAAAACCAGTTCTAAAGAACTCTGGCTGAGGAAAAGGAGTAAAACTGACCTGATTGGAGAAGAAATCTCGCCATCTCAGAGCAGCCATCTTTACACATCACTGCTGTTGTAATCCAATATAAAAGGGTGTTTGTGAGAGTTAACTGAGTTTTAAAACACATTCATGTGTCTGGTGTGAAAAGGTGGAATTCCGTCGTGTGGACATGAGTCACATGTGGGAATAAGACATTTCTCTTCTCATCCAAAGAGACCACCGATCGATCTGGCTCCTTAACCCAGTTTGAACCAGGCAGGGTGTGTGTGTTTCGTCTTTTTAGACTGCATGAATGTTTATGTTTATTTGTTTAGCAGACGCTTTTATCCAAAGCGACTTACAATTTATAACCTATAGGGCATGTTGTGATCTGTGGGGGAAACCGGAGTACCCGGAGGAAACCCACGCATGCATGGGGAGAACACGCAACTCCACGCAGAAAGGCTGCAGCCAAGTTTCGAACCTGCAACCTTCGTGCTGCGAGGCAACAGTGCTAACCACTAAACCACCATGCAGCCTTTGAATGTGTTCAAAAGCACCAAGTTTTTCACCCCGACAACCATCACAGTACATTTTTTCTTTTATTTGTTCTATTTAGTAAAATTCCTGAGAATTATGACAGCAGCAAGCACAATTATCTTAAAAAAACCAAACATTTATAAGTTAAACTGGTCTTTATAGAGTTTTTTGTTTTTAATAAACCAAAAAAAAAAAGAGAGAAAACACATACTTTTCTTTTTCAGAGACAGGTTTTTTTCTTCTTATGACAGTAAACAAAACAACAAAATTCCCCTTTTCACACTTAAAACAGGAACAGCTCTAACCACGATGCTTGTTTTGTTCCTGGCTACTGTTGCTCTTTCCGTTATAAAAACCACAACATAACATTGTACGATCACTTTCTTAAACAAGATCTCTTTTTGAAAATGAAAATTCAGACCATCAAACCAAAATAAAATCTTTTTTTTGTGCTGTCATTCTGGCTTCCTTCCTAATGCAATAGTTTATCTTTGTTCACAGTGATGTGATCCACATCATTTGAAGTGTGGTTCTATGAAAATGTTGTGAAAGTTAAGCATCTTACCTGTTGTAGATAGCTCTTTGAATGAACTCAGTTTGGACAAACAAAGATTAGTTCTCATCATACGGTTGATCTAATGAGGCCAGGACCAAAGCAGCTTATCAAGGTTATTCCAGCAGAATTCCTATTAAGTTCAAGTCAGTGGGTGCTGCAGCAGCTAACGTTCAACCATGAAATCCTGTAAAAGTCCTGGGGATGTCCAAGCATTTAAGGTAATTGTCACACAGTGGGGAATATTTGGTTTGTTTTGTTTGCATGATTATTTTTTAGTAAATAATTAGCATGCATCATTGGGTTTTGAATTGTGATTCTTTCCCTCTGTGGAACTCCCCAGAGACACTGTTTTAATGTGAACAGGCAGCAGATTGTGGTGAAGGGCAACAATTAGCTGCCTGCCCAAAGATGTGATGCACCCACAGGTGTGCAGAGACTCAGTAGCCTCAAATAAAAGGAGCCGAGGCAAAGAAGCTGCAGGGCAGAGACCAAGAGAGAAAACAACATGGGCTTTGTCTGTTCCTGAGTTACTTTCTCTTTGACTTTCTCTTTCTCTAAGTCACGCCCATCTACTTCTGGGCCTCGGGTCTCTGGACAAACAATAAAATGAATGCAAGTGATTGGGGCTAAAACTCCATTTTCTCATTCCTTTTGTTATGTACACATATGATGTTCGCACATTTTAAAGACACATTTTGATGCCAAGAATGCATTCATTTTCAAACAGGGGTTGAAGTTATTTTAGGTTCTGTGTGGAAAATACATCTAGGACTACAAATGTGCAATACCAATTTGATGTCATTGAACCATACACGGAGAGCAGCAGAGGAAAAATGGCAGGAAGTTCAGCGAACTTCAAATCCTTCCTTCAGGAAGAAAGAACCACCAGAAATCTGGCTGTGTCCAAAGCAGCAGCCACGCTCGTGAGAGGAGATTCTGTGATGACGTCATATGCGTAATGTGCCGATGTCTGATTTGTAGTCATAGTAATTAAGAACTTTTATACTGATAAATCTCAAATTACGTGACAGGTGTGGTTGAAACACACATCCTTACTTTACATCTTAGGTGTGTTCTTGCTGTGCGTTAGCTCTAATTCCATGCTGTCGTTCTTTTTAAACCACAGAAACGGTTTCGTTACACAAAATGTCAGTAATCAGAACACTATTTCACCAAACAAACATAATAACAGAAGAAAGAGACCTTAAACAAGAGGACAAACACATACAACACGCTTTAAAGACCTGCGGATACCCGACATGGGCAATAAACAAAGGAAAACGGCAAACAAAAACAGAAAGAAAAGAACAACCAAAGCAAAGAACCAGAAACCCAGAAAGACAAGAACCAAAACCAGTGATAACGCTACCGTACATCAGAGGCATAACAGAAAAAAAAGTGCAAAAATGAAAAAAAACAACATAAACACATCAACAAAACCATACACAACAGTTAGAAACAGACTAGTGCACCCAAAAGACAAAATACCAGCTGGACAAAAATGTAAAGTTGTTTACAAAATCCCACGCAAACTCTGCAATAAAACACACATAGGAGAAACCGGACGCCAACTCAACACACGAACAACAGAACATAGAAAGGAGTGCAAGAAAGAGGCAAATCGAAAACACACAAGAGCAGCAAAAGAAGAAGCAGAAAGCACAATAAAGAAATCAGCCGTAACAGATCACTGCACAAGAGAAAACCACATAATGGACTGGGACAACACAAGGATCATAAACACCGAACAACAAAACTACATAAGATGGATTAAAGAAGCAATCGAGATAAGGAGACGTGGATGTGGGACCATGAACAGGGATGACGGAGTTTACACACTGGATCACGCATGGGACTGCATCGTCGGAGAGGGGAGAGTGGGCAGCAGAGGGCGACAACGTCCTCTGCTGCCCGCGGATAAACGAAGAAGGAAGTGACGCCACCATCAGCGTCAGCCTGAGGAAGCCTGCAGCCGCCAGCGAAACGTAGCGACTAAACAGGTAACGAAACCGTTTCTGTGGTTTAAAAAGAACGACAGCATGGAATTATCCTTACTTTACATTTAAACAGAATATGTGCGATCCAGGGCGCAAGGCAAAGCGGATTAGAAAATAGCTCTTTTTGCTCCACTAACCTGCATTCATTATTTCACTCTTCCAGAGACCCATGAGCATTTGTAACTGGTCCCACTCAGACTGAAGGAAGGATCTATGTTTCTCCAAACTCAGGTTATTCAGAAGGTTTTTATGACACGCTCATAAAGTTTACACACACACACACACACACTTCTGCAGATCTGAACGGTTTATGTAAATCTTAAAGGTTTAGGCTACGACTGCATATACCCGACATATTTAAAGCCTTCCTTTAGCTGGATTGGTAACTTTTATATGTTTATCCGTACGTTTCACACCACATCTGTACACTTGATGTATTAAAAGACATTTATTTACCCAAATGCTCAACAGGGACAGAACAATCTTGACAACGACCACTGCTCCATAGCTGGCCAGGCTCCATGCGATGGGCATGTCCATGACTGAACATGGTGGGGTTGGCTCAGTCGGAGGCACACACTCTGGATTTAGACACAACAAACACACAACATATATATTTCATGTAAAATCTGTAGTTTCTTAGACGTAATTTTCACATTGATGGTAACAGTAATAAAAACAATGACACTATTAAACATATTTTGCAGTTAAGATTTCTATGGAAAACTGAAGAGAACAGTTATTGTGCCTGCCAATCATCAGTCATTATGATGAAGAGGAGGAAGATGACATTGAGGCAGATCCTCGAATATATAACATTCTAAAAATATTCTAATAATCTATATTTTGGGATTTCTTTTACCAGAACAGTGTCAACGTCCATATTTGATCACTTTGTTTTGTCAGATTTTCTGCATGAAAATAAATATTTTAGAAAATTGTAACAACAGAAGAACAGTTTAGTTTTATACCACAACAACACACTTGGGTTGAAATTTTACATAGTAAACTACTGCAATAGGTGGCTTAAAGGGTTAAACTCTGTTCCTTTGACTTTTTGCTAGATTGATTTCTTGCAACGGTAAAAGACAAGAAGGGACATTTTAGATTAGATTCTGTTTTTATACAAATAAAAACAAACCAGCTTGTTGAGTCTTTTGTGAATTAGTCCTGTTATTGTAGCGGTTTGTAGAATAAACACGTATCTTTATAAGGTAAATAAAATCTCACCATGCACAGTTAGCTGAACTCTGCTCCCCTTGATTTGGCCTCCTACTTTTGCATTGACCTCACACTCATAAATGCCTGAATCATTGGGTGTGACTCTGGGCAACACCAAGCTGTATTTCTCTCCCATCATCGCTTCTCGATGGAAGTCGTACTTCTCTGTATTATCCAGCGGTTTATCTTTTTTCAGCCTGAGAATGCCCCACTTGTCTTTTTCAACCTGCTCAAAGCAACATTAATGAAGTATTTGTGTTGCAATAAGAGACTTTGAGAATGGCTGAGTCTCACTGACCTTGTACCATGTGACTGCAACAAAATCCCTGTCTGGTCCATGGTCCTCGATCTCTGAACACCTAAGTTGTGCGTCTTCTCCGCAGCCCTTTTGGACTTCATGACTTAAGGTTGTGTGGTGCACCAACAGCAGCTGATAATGATCAAACCACAAAGTTCAGACAGCAGAAAAGATTAAGGATGAATAAATGAAATGATTTTAAAATAAACAAACTCACGCTGATGAGCAGCGTCACCTGCAGCATGTTTTACTCTTCAGCTGGCTCTTGTGTTTACGGGAACAAAAGAGGCTTTTCTCCACACTTTGCTCAAAATTGAGTCACAATTTCCTGAGAGAAACAGAGGCGGATTAAAACCCACAAAAGAGACAGGGTAGTTCAGAAGACGTGTGGACGACATCTGCCACCGGGTGGTTCCTGAGAAGACTGCATCAATCCTCATAACATTTTTGCACTTTATAGATGCCACCCACCATAATGAAAGTTACTCATCACATATAGAGTAGAGCTTCCATTAGAATGGAGTCAGAAGGGAGGTGGAAAGGGTTGAATGAAACTTGATTTGATTTTCTGAATTTTCGATCAAATCTTCATATTTGGCTTGACTGGACAGGAACTGCAAAAGGAAAAGAATTGTGACCTGCATGGAGCTTAATAGATGTTACGACCCGGCAAATGGGATCGCAACATAAGGAGGAAGTGTTGACACATTGTGGGAGTTAAGAGTAATTTTCACTTTAAAGTCAGCCTCAAAAAGTCCTCACCAACTACCACACAGGCAGGCACTATCAAGGAGATCTCTCTGATCAGTCTCCACTCTTTGGAGTTCCACCAAACAGCCTTTTATGCTGCACCCACAGGTGCAGCCACTCATGATCATGACAGACTAGCCAGATCAATGGTGACAGAGGGGCGTGGGCATAGACACCCGACGCAGCCAATCTGGTTGCAGTGGCACAGCAACATTTGTTTGTCAGATCGGCGCATGGTTTCTCTCATTTTAAGAGCTGTAACAATTGAGCTGTGGCTGCTTAAATCATAAGGAGCCCAGGTGAAGATGCTAGGTCATGCACAGGTGAGAACAGCTATTAGTTGTAGAGGACATGAAAACAGTCCAAGAACTAAAACTGTGTCAATGTGTGAAAGAAAGAAAGAAACCAACCGTCCTTCTGTTCTTGCAGGTGACTTAAGAAGGTAATGATCATCAAGGTGCTGCTGATGACTGAAAAATAGTCAATGGGACCGCCTCTTGAAAAGCAGAAGTTTGTGCAGTTTTAACACAATTTGAAAAATGACCGCACTTGTATAGTGCTTATAGCGCCTGGGCAACTACATCAGCTTAGAGAAGCAGTCTGGCAAGAGTCAAAGGCCACTTGGAGTTCATAAAATAACAAATAAGCCCTGTTCGGAAGGTGTCACAGAAGGCTGCAAGTCAGGTGAAGACGGGCAGAGGAGGTAGTGTGTTGGAAATCAGAGTGTTTTTCTCTCTCTTGCCAGCAGATGGCACAAATTGCCCAGTAATTTGATGAAACGATATAGAGCTAGTGTTTACACTGAGTTAGTCTTTTAAAAGTCTATTCAGACAAAGCACAAACTGTTAAAAATCAGCTGCAGTCGTCTTCTCTTACTGGTTACTGAAAAATAACCACTAACCATAAAAATGAATAGATATGTAAATAAATACATTAATCTCAAATTTGAGTAAAGCTAGGATTTAATTTAGGAGTGCATGTGCACACCCAAAGCAGGCTAAAACACCTATAAGGAGGTTAAATACTCTGCTCTAATTGGCTAGAAAGGCTTAGTACCAGCCTTGGCCACTGGAGGGTAGCAACTCCCCTTCCTCCCTCTCTAAAAGTTGTTGCAAATCAGAGTGTTTTTCTATTTCTTGTCAGAAGAGGGTGCAAATTCCCCATTCCTTCAATAAAACAATACATATAGAGCAAGTGTTTATACTAAGTCTTGTAAAAGTCTTTAGACAAGGAGCAAAGAAAAACTGCAATTGTCTTCTCATACTGGTCACTGAAGAAATACTAACAGTAAAAATGAATAGATATTTAAATAAATTAATTAATCTCAAACTTGCTGGGATTTACAGTTTTTCTCTATTGCTAAAGCACAATTCCTGAAACCTTGCTCCCTTGTCTCAAAACATTAAACACAACACCTCAGCTTCAAGCACGATTTACACAACCTCTCTTGCAAAATCAAACTTTCGCCTCAAAACAGTTTTAGCTGTGCTCAAAATCAAACACTACTCTCAAATCATAAACAAAGTACTCAAAATGACATGCAGCATCAAGCAGTCAGTAAACAATACACCAGAAAATAGAAAGCACAATGTTCAGGGCCATACAATTTGTTTATTGTCCATTGTGCTACAGTGTACAATGACAGTGAAAAAACTACATAAAATGAAAAACATCAAAGGACTAAACATGTCATCAATGGGCCTCTTCTTGTCTGTGGGCTGGGTCAGGCCACAGTACTTCATCGACATCACATGCAATACCGTAATTTAGTAGCAGTAGGGCCAAGCCACAGTGGATGTAGTTATAGCCACTGTGCTATGACCATAGCTACTGTACTATGGGCAGAGCACCGCACAGCCACATTAGCATATGATGGGGAACGAGTTCAAAGTACACCAAAGATAATCAATAAACATCAAATATGAACAAAGTTTAAAATATGAACACATTTTTTAATACTGTACTTATAAACTGCCAAAACAATGCTTCTCAGTTTAGTGTTGACCTAACGCAAAACCTTTAATGTAAAGGAGTCTGTCTGGGCAGTGGGTGATGTCACAGCAATTCATAATAATAATAATAATAATGCATTGAACTTATATAGTGCTTTTCAAGACACCCAAAGACGCTTTCACACACTCTCCCATTTACACACTGCTAGTGATGGTGAGCTACATGTAGTCACAGCCTCCCTGGGGAGGTCTGACAGAGGCGAGTCTGCTATTTGGCGCCGTCGGCCCCTCTGACCACCACTAACACAGGCAAGTTGGGTGAAGTGTCTTGCCCAAGGACACAACAGCAGGATACCCCTGGCGAGAGCTGGAATCAAACCCATGACCCTCCGAACATGAGGCAACCCGCTCTACCACCTGAGCTACTGCTGCCCCCTCATATACAGCCATTGGCTGTTCTCATGGCTACGGGATAGAAGTCACAGCCTTTTGTGGTTGCAGGCGCACCCTCGTAGCTACAGTCGGAGCTCAGACTAAGTCGTCAGAGGTGTCTGTCCAAGAAGCTGAGGCAACGATGTGTCACAGGATCTTGTTGGGTGTGGTCTCATGAGGTTTAGCCGTGCTAGGACCCTTCCAGAGTCCACAAATGAACACCATGGGGAAAGATAGGCAGTGCATTTTCCAAGAGGAGGTGCAAGCAATTGTTGATGAGTCAAGATCATGCGAAGATGTGGGAATGACGCAGCAGGGGGCACGGACAAGATGGGACAGCGCAGTTGAGAGGAAAGTGGTGTGAACAGAGATCTGGGTTACGGTGTGCTTCCAAGCCTGTCCAACCTGCACACACAACGCTAAGTTGAATCTCCAGCTTCTCTGGTGTGTTCCAAATGCACCCTAGAGCATAATCTCAGCTGCTGCACCACGGCAATTGGAGAAGGACGTTACAGGAGGAGGCATGACCAATCCATAAAGTCAATTGCAGAAATTTTCAACTCTGGACAAAATAATAGGCCATTCCAGCAAAATTAGCTGGCAGCCCCAGTCAAAAGACCATCAGGAGGCCTCCTGACAGATGGGAAGATCTTGGTGTATCTTCAATGGCAGCTGAAACTTTTCAGTCATTTTGACGTCACCTCCTTCAAACCAGACATTGTTCTTGTGTCTGGGCCTACTAAGAAAGTTTTGTTGTTGGAGCAAACAGTTCCCTGGAAGAAGGCTTGGAGGAAGCCAATGAGAGAAAGCTCTCCAAGTGTATGGGAATGGTTAGCAATTGTCAACAGGCTGGTTCGAGAGCAAAGAGCTTCCCATCGGAAGTTGGATGCAGGGATTTTGTGGCTAGATCCCTGGTTCAAACACTGTGTTGCCTTCTGCACCATTGAAGCTGTTGAGAAGGCCTCTAGATGGCTGTGGCTCAAGAGAGAACCATGGAGACATTGTTGTAGCTAGTCATCTATCTGGACAGAAGTTAGGTCCTGATCAACCTATTGGGTCACCTGGAGACGGTGTGTGATGTTGAAAAATCCAAAACACAACCCCAGTAATACATCCCTGATGACGTGTCCAGAGGCAGCAGAGGATGTATTACACACTGACCTATGCATGATGTATGACCTGGTCCATGCATACAAATGCCTTGGTGTCTGGCTCGATGACTCCCTCTCCTTCAAGCCCCGTATAGATAATGTTGCGAAGTGACTCAGACTCAGACTGGGTGTCTTTTTTTCGAAATAAACAGTTTTTCTTTTGAGGCAAAAAAACGGCTGGTCGCTGCAACATTTGTGTATTCTGGATCAGCAAGCCCTTTTGTATGTGAACGTCTCAGCACAGTGTCTTCATAAGATTGATGTGGTTCATCGTGTCTCGCTAAGGTTTGTTGCTAGCTGTAGACCACTGACCCATCTTTGTGAAATGTTTTCTCGAGTAGGATGGTCTTTGTCTACCAGGAGGTTGGGACATTGGTACACTTTCCTTTGAAATGCCATGCTCAGATTACTACCCACCTACATCTCTAATCTCACAGAGAAGTCTAACCTCTCACAGTCTGAGTGCAAATGATCAGTTGTTACTGTGTGTTCCATTTGCTCGCACAGAATAGGGCAAAAGGGCTTTCGTTCACTCAGGTTGCAGGAAAACTGGAAATTAACTGATCTTATCTCCTTGGATAAATTTAAAACGAGACTGAGAGCACCTGTATTGTAACTGCCTTCTATAACTTTGTACATAACTAACTGTGTAACAGAGACGGCCTAAGGCTCCCTTGAAATTTAGGTGTTCAATCTCAATGGGACCCTCCTGGTTGAATAAAGACAAAAAAAAAAATAAAAAAAATAAAATCTTGTTAACATCCAAAGTGAAGATGCAGTAGGGAAGGGCAATAAATCACAAAATTTTCGTTATCAAAATTTCTGACTTTTTCCCAAGTCAATAAATTTGATTTAAAAAAATGAAAAGTTGTAGTTTGGCAACATTCATTTACCTATAAGAAGCAGTACCACCTTGAGTCATGTAAAAACATGACTCAAGACCTGTAGCTATGGTCCATTTATCGTTATCGAGGTGAAATCCTCAATATATCGTGATATTGTTTTTTGGCCATATCGCCCAGCTCTAAGATGCAGCATCCCAACTCTGATGAGACGGACCTCTCTGTGTGTATAAGGTCAGACATTTTAGCTGCTGCAGCATCTAATTTCCTGGGAAAATTACTAGTGATATAACACACACACACACACACACACACACACACACACACACACACACACACACACACACACACACACACACACACACACACACACACACACACACTTATGAGCCTGGTTCATCCTGTTGTTTTGACCACAGGGAACTAACCATTGTCTCTCCTCCTGCTAATTATTTGTAAGTGTCGCTCTTGTTGACAAAGGAGGCCGATATAGAGTTATTAATAGAAGAGTGACTTGATGGAAAAAGGAAGAGTGTGGTGTTTGGATTCTCCCGAATGAATCAAACAATGCCTCATTGAGCAGCAGCTGGCACAGCATCAGCAGAGGCAAAGAAACCATCGGATTTTACTTCAGAAGAGTCGAGATCAGGACTGCTGGAGCCGCTTCCCTCTGCAGCTGCAGCTGTGAGCAGTTTTAGGTCTGTGACCTGGAGTTAACTCAGTGAGACATGAACATCATTCCTGATGCATCAGTCAGTGACAGATGTGCTGGTTTGGTTAAACTCCATAGTCAAACACAAGGGGGGTTTAGAGTTCATGCAAATGACAAGAAAATAATGTGCTGATAGGGTGTGCAGGGGAGACTACGGTGCTGCTCAACGTTGCGAAAGCCCCAAGTTTAACCGCTGTTAATTTTACAGTCGTGATGCATTCAAGGCCAGCTCTTTGTGTCAGGGGGGGGGGGGGGGGGGGTACAGCAAGTACTTCAGGTTGTTAGCACGCCCTGCTGCTAGCCTCAATGTTTCTGTCAGCGAGCTTGTTGACTGCACTCTGTCACCTCTGATTGAGGAAATCCTCTGTTTGCTCGAATGAAACATCCCAATGGTTCTGCCGCCTCTCCCTCAGGTCCACTACGCACAGACTTTCCCATGAAGACCGTTCAGGGCTTGGACAGATTTATAGCTTTTTGATGGACCTCTTCTTTTAAATGTGCCAAAGCTTCAGCACCATAGAGGCTGGCCGGAGGATATCATCCGTTATTATCAGTTCTACTGTTGCTAATGCCTTCGTTGCACTTTAAGAGTCATTTATGTTTTGTGAAGCAGCTAAGAACATTATTACAGTTAAATAGGTGGCAGAGATCCTGAAAGAAATCCTCTGGCATCTAATTAATGCTGAACTTCTGTCACTGACCTGATTTAGAGTTGATCTAAAGATGGGAATATCATTATTCCATGTTAAATAATTTCATTACGACCACATACACTTCCAGAGATAGAGTTTCCACTATGTAATGGTTAGTGTTATTTCTCTTCTTTATTTTTGATAAAATTGTGAAATTAGTTGTTATAAAATGGGGGGAGAGACATCTTATGATGTAAAGGGCTGTGAATGCCTCTTGTTTTATTTGATGGTGTTCTCACACAGCCAGCAGGACGAACTCGGTCTAACCATGGGGAATTAACAAACACCTATGAGTTTTATGAGGCGTTGCGTGTCAGTGTGTTTCTGCTGCCCCTCAGTTTTTATTCATAAATCTTCTGTAATGATGAACGTTTTCTGCGAGGAAGAATGTACTTGAGTGTTTTTCTCCTTTTTTTTTTATCTGGTTGATGTTTTATAAGTACACCTGCACCTGTCTGAAGGCATTTTAGCTGTCTGGTTGTTTTGGATCTGCATCTCTGCCTATTTAACTGTTTATTTGGGGAAAAAATAAAACTCTACCGGATCCTCACCTCTGAGCTTTGGCAGGCTTCATCCAGCTGGGGGTTGATTGGCCAGCAGTAACATGAACACAGCAGTGCTGCGAGGATCCGTGTTCTTCCCTGATTTCTTCTGTGGGATTTCCTCTGAGCAGCCCCCACCCCCACCCCCACCCATCCATTCTATTCTCTTAGCAGCCCTCAATCATCCTCCCTCTGTCTGAAGCCCGTGCCAAACTCTCTGGCACATGAAAACAATTGTTCTTGCATGTCTGAAGAGACGTAACCGGCTCCTCGGACGGCTTTTCTCCCCACAGAAGCTCAGCGGACGGTCAGGCAGACGGACTTCCTCCTCCTCTGTGTGGAAAAGTGGCCGTGTCCAGTATTGTGGGAAGGGAGGCATCTGAGCCTCAAGCCACAAAATGACACACAATCATTAATATTTCTGACATGCAGGTGGAGCGAGGGGCCATCGCTCCAGTCAACGGGTGTTTGAAACATGCTGAAATGGACTAAGAGAGCACAGGCTATTAAACTATCACCAAGAGCAAGGTCTGTCTAACAAGAACTCTTTGGCAGGACTGCAAAATGTTGTGGATAAGCACCCATCTGGGAATCAGGACCGCGTTCCCAGATGAGGCTGAAAAAATGCCTTACATCCTTCCTGTTTCTGGTTCATCTAGTTTAACTCCTCTTTTTTCTGCTGTCTGTGAGACAAGAACAGGACCACTTTGAGCCGTGATTTGTGTTTTACAAGTAAAGGTGGTTTCAAGCAGCGATTGCCCAAGACGATCCATCAAACCGCGCTTCCTCTACAACCGTGTATTTAAATCACAGAATAGGTGTTCAGCAGAAAAAAGGCACTCTTGTCTGCTTTTCTCCTCTTTTACATGAAAAACAGCCTCCAGAGTTAGATTCACGACCACTTAAAACAGAGTTTTACAGCAGCTCACAAACAAGATGTTTAATAACAATGCAATTACAAAAATGGCATCACAGTATGAAATAACATAACTTAGTGAGACTTTATTGGTTATAAAATCAGGCAGGGAGGCTGAATGTTTGAATAACTCAACATTTTGGTCAACGTGAAAACATTTAGGTCCTGAAGCTGAGGGGAAAGTAATAAAATATAATTATTATAAGTGTGGATGTTTTTCCATCAGTAATTAATAAGTGAAACTAAGATAATGTGGTTTAATTAAAGAAATCCATTAGTAAAATTTGACATATGATTTTATAACTGATATCTACATTATTGTAAATGGAATGGAATTATTAAAAATCACTGTAGTTTTATTATTTTTAATCTCTTGCAAATTTTCCACATATTTTTAACAATTGCATTTGAAATGCTAGCATGTGTGTTTTCTTCTGAACACAACCGCTCTTTGCTGACTTTATTAATGCATGATTAAAGCTGCATTTGCCTGGAAATGGTTGGAGAAAAGAGAACAATTGCTGGTTTAAAGAATTAAAAAAACGGGCCAAAATTTCATGCAAGGACTCGGTTTCATTAAAGGCGATGCAGCAGTGCAGCTCCGACCTCAGCTTCCATTTATCATCTGGTCATCTCAAAAGCATGTTGTTGACTTTATAGTCATTCAGATGAGCTCACAGCAGGAGGTGATTGTGAGCTCAACCTCTAAATATCCCAAAGCCAAACCTTCCGAGTCACAAAAACAGCCGATAATGGGTTGAGAAGTCAACTTTGAACTCTTAGTGTGAAGTTATATAAATGAGAATATTTTATTTTATTATCATTATTTTACATTTGTAGCATTTCTGGCTGTTAAGAATTAAACAGGATCCCAATATTCATGTATTTTTTAAGCTTGGCAGAAATAAAAAGCTCTACTGTTGTTTTTTTTCACTCCGTAAAATGTCGCACAAAAAAAGTTTGGGGATGAAAAGAGAAAAGCGTCAGAGGAAAAGGAAAACCCCATCGCAGTAACTTTACGACGCTGGGCTCCTCTGGACCCCGCAGCGGTTGGATATGTTAAACGGAACCACACCGATCAGACCTGCAGTGTTTCTTAAACCTGTCTCTTTGACATAGCCTCTGCCATCAACCTGTCACCTCTACAACACAAAGAGGAAGTCTCTCTGATTGTTTTGAAGACTCGCCGCTGC